GACAATGACCTCACTGTCAGATTTAAAAGACAATTTAAATCTTTTTCTTTGTTTTCTATTTTGCAGAACAATTCCAGACTTTTAAAAAACAACTTGAAAAATTCTAGCAGGACGTTCTTTGTAACATACTCTGTCCCTTGTTAGCATCTGAGCTCTGTTTTTGTGCACAATCTTGATAATCCCTGGAGGCTGAACCCATGCTTCACCATCCACCTGCACCGGGACTCCCTCATCGCCAAATATAGTGATTTTTACCGTACGGCACTGAAATAAAACAGACAAGTTATTTTTGAGTACAAATCATCCTCAGAAACTGACACTCGATCTGCATTCAGGCTTGAATATTAGTCTATTCTGTCGGATGGAATGCTATGCTTTACCACTTAAAATGACATGGTAACAACTGACATGACAAGAAAGTCAATATTTTATAGATGAATAGCCAGTGTAGGAGTCATTCAGGAATAGCTTCCCCCCAACGCTCTGTGGCCCAAGGATTGCAATCAGGTTTGATTAGAGAAACCAACCTGGGCTATTCGATGATGCTGCAATTTAATGACCCTTGAAACCGCCATTTGCATGCTATCAAATATTGCAACAACTTCCAGGATCTTGTCATCAAATGACGGTGCAGCAAATATCTGAAATGAAAAACCACATTACGTTTTCCCTGAAGGTTTAGGTGAAGTGGTGCATCGAGCAATGTAAACTCTGATATACATAGATACATTTAAAACTTATAAAAATAATAAGCATGACAGTAAGTAAATATTATTAGGCAATGAAAATTCAAGAAAAAAATCTCTGAAGATGGCTTAAAATAATTACAGTTAAAAAAGGGTTTTCAAATACATATGGAGGACATGATACTCACATCGCTCATAAAGCACTCTTTGGATCAATGAACTAATGTATTTCTAAATAATTCGTCTAGGTCTAAAATGTGTTAAATATCTGCTCATACATAATGCAAATGTCTTGTAAGATGCTGCATGTAATTTTGGGAAATCTAAAAACCCTGAAAGGTGATAGAGTTTCATAAGGTTAAAATTAATGAACATGCAAATTATAATCCAATTCACTTGGTATGTCCTAAGAGAAATCTTTCAAGGTGTTACAAACAATATGCATATGTGCTTTATATTTTAATACAACAAATTTTTAGGGTGCTTGAGGGTATGGAAACAGAAGCCTCAGAGGATAAAAATCATGTAGGCTTACTTTGCCTTTACATTAGATGCATTTCCACAAAATCAATTTACTCTA